GCATTGTATCTTGGAGTTCCTTGGGCTAGGCCTGACAAAAGGGTTCATCTGGTCTGTGTCCTGTATTTGGACGGCCAAAGGCAGGATATCACGGCATGGCGAGAGCCTTTTCCTACAACTGTTTCCCCACAACTGATACTCTGCCCCTGAGTATGAAATTCTATAACCCTTCTCCAAAACTCATCCACAGATGTTACCTCCTAGGGTAATAAAACATCTGCTACTCCAAAACCAAGTGTGGAGAACTCCAACAATGCAACATTCCATAATCACAGAGCAAACCCTCTGATTTATTCTCTATGACTGCATTCGATCCCATTTAAATCTCATGTTAAGCTACTTCCCAGGAGCTCCAGTTTTGCAGTCGTAACTTCCACAGACAATGAAGAAGGGAAGACATGTTTCTGAGGCTGTTCACCACTGTGGCAAGCAAGGAGATGGTTTCGTCTCACACAAATTGGCAGACTTCCCTTCCCTTCCAAGCTCCCATAGTCTGAAACTCTCTAGCAAGGGTTGTACTTCTTACTCGGACCACCAGGCTCACTTCTCATGTCACTGTGTGGTCCTTTCCCTTAATTGTGAAAAGACAAATTGCAGGGAGCATTTGAAAGAAACCCTGCAATCAACAGCAGCTGTCTGGAATTATTAAAACCAGATATGCTGGCTTCTATCATCTCAGTACCACCACCCCCATCCCCGAACTTCTCCAGCTCTTCAATTTCCTATTTCATTTCCCCCTTTGCTTGAATTTTAGACTGTAAACTCTCAGGGGAAGGGTTCTGTTCTATACTCTATAAAGCATGAAAGGCATTGATGGTGTTACAGAATGACAAGACGGAATGACTTTCACAGCATACAGATTCATTGTGATCAAGCACATAAATAAAACAGAACACTCTGTAGCTTGGAAAAATTATTACTGAGAATCAAACCGTTATGCACATAAGGAGGAAACCCTCCGTCTGAACTCATTTCTGAACACAGATACTTCTCTTAAAACAAGAATCTTAAAAAAACTGTTGATCGCTGTTTACTTTAAATGTCAGAAGCACCGTAATACACAGAGACACAATTATCTCAAAATGCATGCCGTTACTTTAACAGTACAAATGTATGCACATTATCAATAGTGGGGGGCTCCTATTATGCTTCTCTTTCAGTGTTTCTCATGGGAATGGAGCAGCAAAGCTGTAGGGTGAACACTATATTTCTACTGTTTTAGACCAAGAATCATGGGCTCTGGCACTTTAAACTCTGCCTTTCAATAAATAAAGTTCAATTGCCACCAATTATGCTTCTTAGCTTTTAGCTGTTGAAAAAATATACTTCCCTGATGACCCATACCTAACAAGAAGGTTCCATCCAAGCACAGGAGAGAGATCTGAGCCATACATGTCAGCAGTGGTGGTGGTGGTGGTGGTGGTATTATTATTATTATTATTATTATTATTATTAAATTTGTACACTGCCCAACTTCATTTTAA